TTTAAAAAAAGAAGTAAAAAAGGTCCTGAAACAGCACAGAAAAAAGTACCACGTGTGACTATTGGTTACTCCAGTATTATGATATCATTGAAGTCCAAGAAGTAAAAAAGTTAATTGTGCCAGTAACACATGCATAAAACATATTCTCTTTTCTCCTTTCTGTTTAACTAATGTTAGAAATATGAGCAACAATAAGTTATAACATCAGTTTTTCCTTATTATTTATCAATCAATCATCCACAATAGGGATAAAATTTATTTTTCGAGAGATTTTAGCTATTTATGATCAAATAATTTATAAAATAACTTTGAAATTGTTTATTTTTTATTCTCTATAACGGTCTATCATTAGTTATTTTATAGAATAACTAGTTATTCCATAGAACAACTAGGTAAAGTGTGAAATTTTTCATCTATTATATACTTCAACAATAACATATATATAATATACATTTTATGTTGTATACCTCAACACAGAGAGAACAAAACCATTACAATAGAGTCACCGAAAATATTTTTCCTATAGATTTTATTCTTATTACTCGTCTGCTGTAAATATTCGCAGACTCCAAATGGAATGTACTGCAAGAATGTTTCGATTGATTTGTTGCGCAGTTGTATCTAATTGTTCCTAAATTAACGTCTGCCGACCAGATTTCTGTTATTGCCTCGAAAGCCTTTATCTAATTAGTTTAGAAGGAGTATCCATAGAAGTATATTCATTCCTAATTAGAGTAGAGTGAATTGTACCAGAGTTTTCTAATTACCTATCGTGAATATAATTATTGAATATGTTCTTTTGTCGTTTCTCTGGTTCCATTATCGTCTTTTGGAAATAATAGATCGCTGTAAATTAAATTTTCCAACTCAGTTGAAAAGAAACGTCTAATTATACCGCATTACACGTGAATTAGAATAATTCATAAATTCTACATTTACTAAATTTGTTTAAAATAGTCTAAAATGAGCTTAACAAGTAATATAAAAAAAATTTAAGTTAATTCCTACTTTGGTCAACAAAGAAAAATTTTATTTTAGTTACATTTTATCAAATAATTACAATTAATATAAATATGTATATACATATGACAGAATTACAATATTAATAAGTGACAAAATAGAAAGTGTTTTTCCATTTTCCTTTCTATATAAGGAGTTGTACTATCGTTTTTGTGTTTGTTACTATTTATTCATTCATAAATCACATTCTCAGAAATTAGGCTATCTCAGGTAGGATTCGAACCCACCACCTTTGGATTAGAAGTCCAATACGCTATCCATTGCTTTACTGGACACAACGAGCAATTTTCATTTTTTATATGTTGTTGGACTATTATTTTGGTTTGTTACTAATTATTCACTAATTAATGAAATAGTGTTTGAAAAAACTGTATTGAGACATCAAATGTCATCCACTACAAGTTTAAAAAATGTATTTGAACTGAGTGGATGAATGAAAAATATTTTACCAGCGACAGAAAACTTGAACAAGATGTATATATATATATATAGGGAGAGTGTGAACTAATAGTAGGAATTGAGAGAGAAAAAGATTATCATTTATCTCAAGTGTGTGTTGTATTCAATTAATTAAGTTTAGAAGGAGAAAAGTATTTGAATTTCATCTTATAGTTAAGATATATGTTTAGTAACCTTTATTTAAATTTCTTAGTAAAACTTTTTGGGTTCTAATTTAACATTGGTACGTTATGGATTTATATGCTAGACAGCAATAAAATTTCGTCAAGTTAGGGTGATAACATTTTACTGGCAGTCAAAGATCTATTTCGCATTTAAAGTATTCGTCTACGTTCGGGTCCGTGATTTTAAAAAAGAGCATAAATGAATAATTTTCATGATTTTTAGTGTCACTTAGATTAGAATACATGTATAAAATTGTTTTAAGAAAATTATGACAAAAAAAAAATTATTTAAATACAATATTTTGGCAAAAAATTAACTTAGAATAACCTTTCTTCAAAACGTTCTCCTTTTATATTCTCCATTTATATACTTCTATAATAATAATATTTTGCTTATACAAGGTAAAGATTTTCCAGAGAATCTGAACTAGGACTTTTGAAAAATTCACATTATTTTCAGAGTTACTACCAATTAAAATAATTATCGGCGTTGTTTTTTTTAAAAAATTCTCCCCTGTGTTGTAGTAAAATATGGATAAATTCACTTCTAAGTTGTATGTTTCAAAAATTCTAGTTCGGCCTCTGTACAGAGGGTGTGAGCTATACACAGGCAAAATGTTATTATAATAGAAGCATTTTTTATAAAAAGAGAAAGTTTTGAAAATGGGTCATCTATGTTCATTTTTTGTCAAAATATTGTACTTAAATAGTTTTTTATTCTAATAATACGTATATTTATACGTCTTTATATGCGTTTTCTAATCTAAGTGACACTAAATATCATAAATATTATCCATTTATACGCTTTTGAAAAATCACGGTTCCGAACGTAGTCGGATACCTTATATATACACTGGTGTGCAAAACTTAAGCAACAATGTAAAAATTTAGCCGATAGCCATGAAATTGCAGAAAAGGGATCTGGAGATCAGTAGAGGAACACGTAAGTCGGGAGAAACGTCATGCGTATGCAAATATCAGGAACAAAACGTCAGAAGCGATGTGAGCGTACGCAAAACGCGGTGATGTCGGCGCGCGCTGCTTAACAGTAGAATGAAATGAAGGACGGAGACGCAATTCACCATATTCTCTGCAAGTGCCAGTGAGTCAGTTCGTGAAATATGGCTAGAAGAAATCATCTGGATGACTTCACAGTGGAAGAATGATCGAAGAAGCTGGAGGAGGGGCGTACTGTCACCAGTGTAGCTGCAGAGTTCGGAATCAATAAAAGTGTCGTTTCGTGCGTTTGGGAAAGCGTTCCAAACCACAGGTACAGCTGTTAAAAAGGTTGGTATGGCCGCCCGAGGACGACAACGCGGGATGCCCGGGATATATCATCCTGCAGGCAAAAAAAGTTCGACAGCAGTCAGCAAGCGCCATTTCTCAGAAACTCTGTACAGCAACAGGTCGACAAGTGTGCGGTTTACTGTGACCAACGCCTTCACAAAGGGGCCTGTTCACCGCCGTCCTGAACGGGTGCCTCCCGTTGAAAGATGGCCCCAGAACTCCGTTTACAGTGGGACAGAGAGCACAAAAAATGGACAACTGATCAATGGAGTCGTGTTCTCTTTACGGATGAGAGTCGGTTCAGTACAAGAAGCGATTCTCAACGCTTTGATTGGGAGAGATCGGGACCCGGTTTTATCCCAGTAACATCAAAGGGAAAAACATCGTTACGGTAGTCCTGGGTTCTTGTCTGGGTTGGCATTATGCTGAACGGCGGAACTGAGCTTCCCATTTTCGACAGAGGGTCTGTAACCGGGGATCGCTATTGTGAGGAGGTACTTCTTCCCCATCTGCATCTTTCCGAGCCATTGGTCCAGACTTCATCTTTATGGATGACAATGCACTGCCACATCGCACTCTTGCTGTTGAGCTGCTGGAAAGTGAAGATATCACTCGAATGGATTGGCCAGCGTGCTCCCAGATTTAAATCCCATCGAACATGTGTGGGATGCTTTGGGGAGACGTATTGCCACACGCCTCACATCATCCGGGTACAACCAACAACTCAAACAGATGTTATTGAGGAATGGGCACTCCTACCCAAAAATGTTTCACCAGCTGGTTCTGAGTATGCGGAGACGGTGCAAAGCAACCATTGTAGTAAGGGGAGGGCATATACCATATTAAGGAACATCTGCTTGTTGTTCTTCCTGTTGGATAGACAATCATGAGTCACGATGCTATGCGTTCAATAAAGCTTGTTTTTGTTTGATTCCATACCGTATGCGTTGTATTCCTTTTTCAGCGCCGATGCTTTCGTCATCCTTTACGTACATAATACTCCCCCTCATTTCAGAATTTCATGTCTCTCAGATGATTTTTCGTGAAGTTATGGCAATAAACCCACCTGTTGCTTAAGTTTTGCACACCAGTGTATAAAGAATGTGAAGAATTTTATACAATTTTTTTTTTTTTTTGCAATCTTATTATGCTTTTGTCCTGCTCTAGTCAATTAAAATGTATTCACAAAATGAGAAAAAGAAATATAGAACTAATAATGGGGCCAAAAAACACCTATAATGAAACTAACAGAAAATACCGTGGAATTAAAACAATGAGTATCTGTAATAAAAATGGCAACGTACTGTTTCAAAGTAAAAAGAATGACTTAAACCCAAGAATGATAATTCTTCTTCGATTCGACGACAAAATATGTATGGGCCTGCCATGTGTATAAAATTCATCTTGCACTCCAAAATGAGGTTACATGTTTCAGTGTTATTTATTTGAATGCAAAAAAATAATTAACATCTTTTTATTATCGAGTTTATTTTGAGTGGTATTTGAATGCAATGAATATAATGAACATGGAAGAATTCATACATACATTTTTTGGTAATAAAAATTCATAAGAAAGACAACTAATATAAAATAAATTATCAGTTTTTAATGACCACCATGTCTGAAAAGGAATGTACCCTTTTTCTTTATTTTTTCCTGGGTACCCAGTGTGTATAGAGTGGTGATAATTGGCCTGAAAGCTATTCAATACTCCAAGTTTTAAAGTATTCGCCTTTTCTGCGTGCACAAAATTGTCTCAACATGGCACCCACCAAACCACATAAGGCAGTGCTTCTCAAACTCTGAATACTGGCGCCCCCCTTTTCAATCACAATTTTTATCGCGCCCCCCTTATACATTAATAATATACTGAATGCAATAATAATGCACTTTGACGCTAAAGCTACAATAAGCTATCTTTTAATTATAAACCATACAAATTAACAACAAGTATTAAATTTTGCATATGTTACTTTTAAGCAAAAAAAAAAATTAAGTAACAGGATAATTATGTTATTTTTCCTTTCTCTGATTTTTATATTGGAACATATTGCAAAATGCGGTGGCTGCTTAGAAGACAAAATTAGATATAAACAAATATAGAAAAGAACTCAGGGGTCAATTTCTAATCATAAGCATTTCTTAAAAAAAATTTACTTTTAAAGAAAAAATTTTCTTAATTTAATATTATTAATTTTATAAAATACTCTGTGCAGCACACAACACACTGAAAATTAAAAGTATAAAAGGCTGAAGTGCCCGCTTTTTTTCACGAGTTCATTTATAAAAAAATAAAAAATTATTGATATAATAGCTGAATTGTAAAAAGTAAAGCCAAGTGCGCGACAGTGTTTACAAAATGTAAAATGATTTTTTTAAAATGATTGCTCAAATTATAATTAGTCTTAAGCGAATTGTAATTTTAAGCCTCAGAATTAGCATTTATAATTGATTTTAAATAATGAACAAAATAATATAAAATTCGATGAAGAATAATTGTATTATTTTTAATATTTAAAGCGAAAATACTTTTACCGGGAGCAGGCGCGCACTCGATACGGTCGAGCGGGGTTATTGAGTCACCCCAATCCTTTTTTATATAATTATTTTATTGTACACGATACAAATCGTGATTCCAGTGAATAATTTAATTAAGAGAAAGTAAACTTACCTACTTTCAAGGACTTTTCAATTTTTCTTTGGTAACAAATAAACAGTTTTGCCAGAATTAACTATTTCGTGATCTCTGTGTCCCGCGCAACCACTTCCGGGTAAAAAGTGTATTCATTATGTATGTTACTGCTTTAAAACGTTTTTCGTTCTGCTTTAATATGTTCGAAAATACTCATAAAAAATAAGTCTAGGCCAAGATTATCCTTCAAAGTACTTCTCCGTGGTTTTCCAAATATCATAAAACTCTTTTGCATGGAAAAGAGCGCAACAGAGAAATACATTACTTACAACTTCCTTGAATGAGAAATAAACACATATATAAGAGGGGTCATAATTAACTGTACCAATAACTTAGAAGATCAAACAGATTATCAGCAAAAACAGATTACAGCTATAATGTGCAGTATTTCAAAAATAATCACAGTGATGAATTTTTTATGTTCCTAAATTTTTTCGATTCTGGGTCTGGGATTTTTATTTTTTCTCTGAAAGAGTAGTATGTTAGATTTAAAAAGAAAACTTCAAAAAAAATCTCTCATCATAGGATTATAGCAAATCAAATAAAAGATTTTTTATTTGGTTATAGGATCAAAGATAGCTAATTAGGTATTGATGAAGTTTTTATTTTTGAGAGAGAGATGACTTAATATCGCCTATAAATTATATCAGAGTAAAAGTGCATTTTTTATTATG